GGTGAAGGAACAGTTGTTTCGTCCCGACAGTTCTGTTCCTTCACCTGAAGAAGGCTACTTGTGTTGTGGCCGAAACGTCGTGAGAATTTTATGTTTATTATGTTTTATTTTTATTATTTTATTTCCATTCTACGTGACTTTACCGAAAGAACCAAGAAGATGAATCCCTGCAGTCACGAAAGTTTCAAACGTGAAAACTATCTTATTTTTCTTATTATCCATTCTAAACGGGGGATTTGTTTTTTTGCCTTTTAACCTAGGCTTTGTAAAGCTCTAAACTGGAATAATTCAGGGAGCTGAATCCAAATATAACTTTTTTATCATACATTTTGAAAACCAACATGCTGATTTTTGGTGTTCCATAACTTCGGGTTTCTTTTTTTACTTCGTATTTTTTTTTAAAATCTAGGCCTTTCTTGCTGTTGTTACCAGATCCTGTTACAAAATGTAGGAGCCAAGATTACCCAAATGTGCCTTAACTTAACCACTTTCAGTTAACATTTTAACAGGCCTTGCTGTTTTTTTTATAAATTGGCACGTCGTTGATATAACATCTAATTAATTTGGCTGTTTTTATAAATTCCCTAATGTTTGATATCTTTCTCAGAAACATAATCACAGCATTGTGCGTGAAACATTAAGTACGAAAGAACTGCACTCGATGACCTTCAAAACAATTCACTAAACAAATATATAAATTTGTTTTTATGATATACTTGGTATTCAATATCATACATATGTGTGCATTGCATGGTTAGTGTTGGAGAATCCGAATAACACAGATATTTTAGAATAGGAACTCCGGCTTACACGCGGAAGAAAGTACAATTTGCTTTATTATACTGCGACAGCTGTCATTGTGCTAGCTCTAGCAATAGTGGGATACAATGTGTCTTGGACATTGTATCCACGATAGGCAGAGTAATGGAAAATAAATCAACAATGCATTGAAATGTCAGAGATGCATGAGAGAGATGGTGGATATGTGTGAAAAGGGGCAGTGAGGGTCTATTTGTGTAAATACAATTAGCGCCGATGAGAGCTTTTACGGCACAGAAATACAATGCGGCCTGTGACATATCCAATCCTGATGTTCACACTGCAGCGGGTATACATTTAATGCTGGGTTGACATAGGCGAAGCTCACGGAAAGGCTAAGATACCAAGCACCTGTCAAGGCCTACAGTTCCCCACATTGTCATGGGGAAGGAGGAGTTCTTCTGTATAAGAGGGAGCCAATAATCATTGAATGAGAGTTCAATCAGGTAAATGTTTAATGTCGTTCATGTAAAACAGTGTATTGATGTTTCAATAATTTGTGTCTTTGAATGATTACTTTTCAGCCCAAATCATGTTGGCTGTATGGGCTAGCCAGAAGCCGGCTCATGGAAATGTGTCCTGTGACGCAGCCCATGATGAAAGTAGTAAAGACGACCATGTGAATTGTGAGTCAAGAAGAAACACAAGCATGCATAATGAAGACTCCTCCTGGCTGGTGCCTAGCCTAGCTATGTCCTTGGCGGCTCTGAGTATGCTGGCAATGGGTGGTAATGCAGTTGTGGTACGAGATTCATGGCGATCATTCGTCCGCACACGTCCAGGTAAATGTGCGTCCCATCGTCTTAAATAATTCACATGTAAGTGAATGCATGGGGTTTGTGAAAATAAATGAGCAACTTGTATTTGGCCAATGCACAGGTAATATTATACAAATGTTAATTTGATTTTTACGTAATGGGACCTCCTTTGCCAGTGTCAAAATATAAGAATAGGGTTTTCCCTTTTTTCTAGCAACAAAACATGTGTTAAGATGTTAAAACACCAAACTGAAATCTTTTGCAAGGAATCATGTCTGCATTAACCACAGATACTTGTGGTAGCCTGGTTTTTAATAGGAGTGAGTGTACTGGTAGTCTATAATGTAGACTGTAGCCTGGTTCTTAACCTGAGTGAGCATATTGACAGTCTATAATGTAGACTTATTCTTGGTTCTTTCGGTAATACAAATAAAATAAAAAACAAAAACCAACCGTATTTATCGGAGGTGCGGGGAAAGGACAACTAAAAAAAATCATAATTTCCAGCTGAAATTGCATTCACAGTAAGCAAATTATTTGGTGATTCTGCTGCTTTGGCAGTGGTACACAAGCACAGTTCAAACAGTACCTCACTCAACACATGAAAAGAATTACACTGCCTTAAATCTAAATAATATATCCGACGTTTTGGACAATGACACTTCCTCATAGCACATTATTCAATAGGTACCCTTGACGTCCAGAAACAAAAGTCATTGGGCCTCATTCACATTTATATTTTGGCTGAAGTTCCACAACTTTTAAGCTGTATGGCCATTTTTTTTACAGAAAAATGTGTTAATTCCCTCGAGTGGAAGGTGTCCTGTTATTCAGTTTGGTGGGCCAACCAGGAGTTCTGATATTTATTCGGCCAAATGATGTATAATAGCAAACTTTGCTGTATGTATAACATATAAATTATGATCAGTCACTTTTCCTGAACACTGTCACTAACCCTTTTTTATAGATAAGTGACGATGATGCGTGATGTCATCGGCATCTAGAATGTCCCTGTATGTTCCTCTAACATAAATGTTCTTGCACGATTGTATACTTGTATGAATAGTCATGCTTTTATATTCAACAATAAGACCCTGTCTGTAGACTATGTAGACAGGGTAGCAATAGCATTATTGCTACGGAGTTGTCTCTGCAAGGGCTTAATTCCTCATGGAATATGTATTTCCACCTGAATTTAAGCATTTTTCTTTTCATTTTCAGGCAATGCTGCCCGACCCTGTGCTTCCCTGCTCATGGCAAACCTGGCCCTGGCCGACTTTGGCTGTGGTCTGTTTGTCATGCCTGCATCACTGCACGCACTGATCCACGGAGCCTGGGTGATGGGAACACCTGTCTGCCTGTGCATCTGTGCCCTGAACTACTGCTTCATCATCGTGGCGATGGGAACATTAGGTGAGAGAAGGTGCAGGTCGTAATATAACAATTAATTTACCGAAATTTTCTGTCGCGTTTGTAAACTCTGCATATGTCACCGGACATGAGTGTGTCCAAGGTAACTCATTGTTGCCTATAATAATATTTAAAATCGTCATTAAGCCGTAATAAATTATTTTGAATACACTGAATGTTAAGTATTGTTAACAAAAAACCCATGTGTTTAGTGTTATATTTATTTTCAATTTACTGCTATATTTATTTGATCGGCTTTCATTTTCCGTAAGAGATTCTCAATTGATATATATTTTTACATTTTTACAAGGTTGTAGTAATTATAAAGAGTTCATCTAACCATTGGACATCCTTCATCCGTGATGTGTCTCTTCGTCTGTCGTGTAGGCATCATCTCGCTGGACCGCTGCTTAGCCGTGTGGCGAGCTGCCGACTATCGGCAATTACTGCCCTGGAAACGTGCGGCTCAGGGCTGTGGACTCACCTGGTTTTCAGGCATAATCTTTGGATGTGTGCCAGCTGCCTGCAGATGGGTCTGGTAACATGTTCAACTCGATTCAACGTCCCTATTTACTTATCCCTTGACTCATTTCCTCGCTGCGGTGTCATAATTGTTCACAATCATAGTTGTTTTAAAAAAAAAAAGTAATTCTAAAGTAACACGTATTTGGCTTGGTCATACAAGTTCGTAACTCGGTAGAGTACGGATAGTGTGTGCGCGTGTGTGGGGAGCGATAGTGTAGCGGTTAGCGCGCTGCGCTATAAACCCGGCGACCCGGGTTCGATTCCCGCTCACGGCCAACACCAGTGACGATTATCTGAACCGGTCCCGGGCCTCCCCTAGGTCGACTCAGCCTCAAATGAGTACCTCGTGCGTTGTATAAACATCGCCACTAGGGAGACAAAGGCGGTCGGGCGTGGTACTGGCCACCCACCCCCTCGTGTACCGTTTCGGCCTTCATAGGTGCTCGCTAACAGCACTTGCCCCTACAGTCTGTTAAGGCTATACGGGGGATCTTTATCTTTGTGTGTAAGATAGATGGAGCCTGTTTGGTTGGCGTGGTTTATCGGCAGGGCGAGGGAGGTGATGTCCATTCTGGTCGGCACTCCCCCGATGAGCTGTGGAGTTGGCGTAAATGTGACTCCACCCATTCAGGCCCCAGTGAATTGAGATAGAATTTGAAAGTAAACATGCAACGTTGGACCAAATCGTTAACCGGGAAATTTATTTAGAGCAATTTCCACTTTATTTTCATTTTTAGGAATCATGCAAAAGTATTACCCTAAATAGTACAATCATCAGGCCAATAATATTTTATTTGTAAACCATGCTTTCTAACCAATGGGTTACCTGGCCATGTGCATTATGACTGTCATAGTTCTAAAACACAGTAGTAATACAAGTAATACCAGCTACAATGTTTGTTTTGGGTCACCTTATATGAAGTGATTTGTGGATACGTGTGGACCGAACTGGAGAACATCTACATTCAGTCGCCAACAGGACCACAGGCTGTTAAAAAAAAAAATTCAAACTGGTCTCTGCGCAATGTGAATGATTTTGGGCAGATAAAATACAATACCTGGTAAACATGTTTGCCTTTTGGCGTCTTCTGGTCTAACACCAGTGGAGACTAGGCTCTAAGAAAAGCCGTCTCGGGTGTGGACCAATCAAATTCAAGGACAGTGCATATTATTATCAGAGTTGTCTCTTTTGTTTGCATTTTGACTGCTTGTGTTGTGGTTATTGCAAACATGATACCTTGAATAAAGGTGTCAGTTTTTGTGCCAGTTAAAAGGGTAAAACCTATATACTTAGTTCTTTCGGTAAAGTCACGTTGAAGGGAAACAACAAAATAATAAAATATATATAAAACAATAAAAATTCTCACGACGTTTTCGACCATAACACGAACTAAGAATATGAATTACTGCAGTCACGAAAGCTTTACATCAAGGGTAAAACCTATTACTAAACATGTTCTTCTTGGTAGTGGCATATTAGTGAAATAACTTTGCTCGTTTTGGATAGCAACCAATAAAGCGCGGCAGCGACTTATCGCCGGGAATTCGTTTCTCCATCGATATTTTCTGGAACACTGCTAAGCTCGTTTGGAGTTGGATTTACATGCCCATAAGGGACTATCACTTGAGTACAATATATCCCTATGCGTGCACTTATTAATGTATCCCATAATCCTCCCCCCCAAAAAAAAAATATCTGGTAATCTTGAGCAATATTCACACAAGCTTTTTTCACTCCCTGCACACACCACTGCAGCTCCAAGAGGACAAAGTGATGCGAGATACATGTGACGTGGAAAACACAATTCCCGGAATAACGTTCCAGGCTGTCCTGGCTGAAATGAAGCACCATTTGTAACAACCCTTTTTTTAATCTCCACTGTATTGTGTTGCCCTTTCCAATATGTCCAACTTTAGGTATGACCGAGAAGAATTGATATGTACGATTCGCTGGGATCAGAATTTCCGGAGTGTGATGACATACACACTGTCCGCTTTCTCCGTGTGTTTCTTCGGGCCCATTTGCATCATAACAACCTCCTACATTGTCATGCTGGTGGCATACCATCGCAACGCGTTTAGGTATGGCTTCTCAAATTCACGTAAATGCTGAAATCGACATACCCCCTGCTGTGTGTGTAAGGGGCCGTCCATAAATGACCTCACGAGAGTTTGGAAGATTTTTTTACTCCCCCCCTCCCCCCCAAAACCATATTTCCATTTTGAAAATTAAACACGCTTCAAATCGCTTTAAACTATTGTCATTGTAGTGCGTATTTAACGTGGCGCTGCGCTCTGATGTTGCAGGAGTGTTGTTATAACAATGAGTGTTGTTATAACAATTCTATATTTAAAGTTGCGCATTTTGGTGTGACGTCTCATTTCTCACCCCCCCCCTCTCTCGTCACACAACGTCACAAATGTCTGACCCCTCCCCCGTCTAGGTGCGTGACGTCATCTATGGCCTGCCCCTAACATCCACAATATGCTTACGCGTGTGAAGTTACTTTTTAAATGGAGTTACTTCGTACCCACTCCGTCCCGTGTCACTAACTCATCGGGCAACTCAATGACCACTTGTCACGACGTGTTCCTCGTCGTTAAAAACATGCTGCCGTTTATTGAGTAGAGTGATATTCATTTTCATATCTATTTGGGGGAATACCTTGTTTTTTTTTTAACAAATTACATTCACATTAAATTTGAGGTATTCTTATCATCTATAACAGGGGTCATTGTAGGTTTTTCACAGGAACCTTTTCACGAGCATTGATGGGCATGAAGTTGACATTTATTTGCCAAGAGAATGCGAGATATTTCAGCAGGTATTTGTGTTAACAATGTTTGAATTCGTTCAGAAAAAGTGACAACAACAAGACGTCCCGTCGTTTGGCCCAGATGGCCCTGGTGATGGTTGCAGCTTACCTCATGTGCTACACACCATTTGCCCTTACCAAGGTGAGTCCTGATTAAATATTGCATGTGAAATTGGAATTTACGCTGCTAATTTTGACCAAAAAATTCCACGATGTGCACGTTGGTGTTCTAGTATGTATGCATGGAATTAATAAGGCCATACACGACAGAAGATACACAAACATGTACAATAATAACAAAATGCATTGTAGACAAAATAATGTTTAAAGGAGATGGGCAGTGGCACGCGAGAGCCGCTACATCGAGACAGAAATATTTAGTGACACAAGTTCACATTGAACTGCATTGACGTCCAGCTGCGTTATTACAGTCTTTATTGGATCATTAATCGATCCACGTGCGTTATAACGTTGTCGAATGTCATTTTGTTTTGTGCGCACCCAGGTGCTGAAGGTGGCAAGCAGCAGTCTGGATGCTGTGCCTGCTTGGCTATCAACGACGTCGTCTTTTGCCGCATATTCGAACTCGGCAATCAACCCAATTATTTACAGGCTCCTGGGCAGGAGCAGAAGAGTGAGGAAGAAAGGAGATGGAAACAAGATGACGCTGTGTTTCAGAGCACGCAATTGGTGTCACGTTTCAGAACACAGGGTGGGTCCAGCCCCAAGTATATCTGCTTTAATCGAATCCCAATCATTTAACCCCCCTACTCCTTCCCAAAGTGCACAACGTGCCAAGGGCGTTGAATAATTAAACCGGAAAATTTTATTTTCCAGGGAATATTGGTTAGCATCAGCATGACAGGCAATTTCTCCACATACTGTAGTCAAGCTTTGCTACTATAAGTTGCACTTTTTTTGGAATGCATCAATTACTGGATCCTGCCTGTCCAAATATACGTCGTAATTATCTTTCTGATAACAGGTTGGAACATTCTATTATTATTACAAAGAAAACTGGGTGATTCCATTCAGTGCTGTAAACGTAATCTTCTACTCACAACATCAGATCCAAGTTTCATCAGCATTGAGGATGTCAGCCATAAATGAATTCTGATCAAAATCGTTTTGTTTTATGCGTTGATGCACAGTGCATATTATATTGCTTAAAAGTAATTCAACTGCAGTTCGCTCAATATAGGCATGTCCTCCTGATAATTTAACTTGACTGTCAATAATGCTTGTAATGTCAGAAATGTATGACATCCTATATTACCAGTTGATCCAGAAAATATTTTAGCAAGCACTAATGTAATCGGTAAATGCTATTTATTTAGGACATTGTTTATGATTGTGAGCGTAATTATTATTTTAAAGATATTGTGTCAGAAAACAAAATTAATAATGATAAATGAGAACCACGATTGTGCAAAATGGAGGATACAATTATTGTGGATTGTGCAAAATGGAGGATACAATTATTGTGGATCTTATTTTATACATTGTATCGCCATATTGCAGAAACCCTGGGGTATTCCTTGCTCTGTACTTTGAGTGACAAGGGAGAAGAGACGACCATGGGCTGAAAGAGCAGAAAGTTGGGGTTTCTTAAGAAGAATACAACACAGACACAGGCAATCTGTACCTGGCCCACAGCGTCAAAAAGCAAGAGATTGGTTTGAAATGTATTTGGACGGTAGAAAGCAATGCGTAAACATGGGCAGTCTTTCCTTGGTCATTTCTTCTCATAAATAATATAACATAAAATGTATATTATTATAAAGTTCTATATAACGCAGGTGACATTATTATCTATATCATAGGAAGTTCATTAGAAAACGTACATCTAAATTTACAAGATTACTCTACAACCGTTAAAAAACATTCACCTTGAAACTCCACCTGAATGCAAACCCAATATGTAACTGTTATGAACCATAACTGAACTACAGCTTGGAACCGCGGCACTTTGCCCATAACCACTATCAACAGTACAATTGAAAATGTTTCGTCATCTAAGCATCTTGGCATCTGGATCCATTATCATCTCAACTTGAAACCTCATCACAATTTTTGCATTAAAAAAAATAGGAATGTAGACAGTGACTTTGTACAGAAACGAATCCCGTTCCTTATCTTCTACACAGAAACTAGCTGCTACCTTCACCGTCTTTAAACTATGAGGGGCATTCATTGGGCCAAGTTCATCTTCAGTGCATGCGCACATCACTGTCTCTCACTTACACAAAAGTGTTTTTTCAGAACCAAAATGATTGACATCTTAGAAGTCCCACAACACTCAAGTGTCTTGTTCCATAAATACACCTAATATGGTTCTCTCTCATCCTGTGCCAATGCTCAAAACACCAGGAATTGCATCGCTTAAAAATGTCCTTGGTTAATCTCTAATCTACATCATAATCTGATGATGAACTGTCGATTATCTATATCTTCGGTTTCAATTGCATTTGACATATTCTTTACTCTTTAAATATCAGTGTAGTCACCCTATATCTGTTTAATATTTCTGTAGTTTAATTTGTAACTTGACGTCGATGAGTTTAGAAGTAATCTGCCTGAGCTGCCTTTCGCTGCAGGGAATTTATAATGGATATTGATTTGTATGTGTGCATGTTTTAGGATTTATCACGTGGCACAGGTGTGTTTACTCTGATTTCGATTTGCGCCATTGCTGTAATTTTGGTTTGTTTTTCATTTTGTTGACCCAAGGTCACTTTTGCAAACGAAGTTATCCTTGTCCCTTGAATTTTCAATTGGTTAAATAAAATAAATATGAAACTTGAACACTGCGGCATATGTCAAGAGTTTGGTGTCACCGATAATTGATTTGCTCAAGGGTGCTGTTGATTTTCAATTTCGGTTATAGACCTTGCTGAAGTAGCAGAAAAAAATGACCTCTCTCATAGCCACAAACACTGTTGGATTGTGTGTTTGATGCATATACTAGCATCATGCTGATCAGGTCTTACCTATTGACTCAACCTGAAGTGAGTATGTGATGTTATGTGTCAACATCTATGAGCACCCTTTATCTGGCCTTCACTGGAATTCCCCAACAGTGTGTTCTGCGACAGCTTGTAAGCGAAGATCCAAGAGTATGGATTCCTGTAGTCACGAAAACTTCAAGTCAAGATAGAATATTAAAGGTTTTTAGGTCTTTAAAATGTATAGTGACTGTAAAGGTTTGATCAACTTTGTTCTTAGCTGACGGTAATATTGGCTATATTATAATGAACAGCCAGAGACAAATATCCTTCATAGCAGTGATACAAATGTAATAAGGTGATAAAGATGCAGCTTACACCAATGCTGGCTGAAGAGCCTCCACTTTAGAGAGAGGCTGTTGTTGGCCTACTCTTGACAGGCTGGCGAGGCATCTTGAAAAAGGTAGAAGTACCCACGCTTTACCCCACCACACGGGACCTGCCAATCGACTAACTGTTGTGTACCCATTTTTACTGCTTTGGTGGACAGAGGCAAGGAGGTTGAAGAAACTTGTCCCCATTGTTTAACTGTCGCACAGGAAGATCGAACCAACGGCCTCTGAAATTGCAAATCCAGCATGCTAATTATGAGTCCATGGTGAGGCCCCCCAAAATATACACTGTATACATACGTATGACTATATAATGACAGAAAGTATGAAGTACTGTATTTAGAAATGTCAGTTGATGGTTTTTGGAACTGTGTACTTATAGATCCTGCAGTTATAATTGAAGTTGGATGTGTACATATGTAGTGGTTGACTTCACGCGGACAACTTTATTGTTTTCTCCGACACCACTTTTATTAGAACTCTTCACATTACGTCTGTGACTCCGTCACTCCGCTTCCTCCCCTATCCCTCACTGTCCCTCTGCGTCGTCCCTGTCTCTCTGTCTCTGTATCTCGCTCTCGCTCTGTCCCTGTCTCACTCTGTCTCTGTCCCACTTTGTCTCTCTGTCTCGCTCCTTGTCTCTCCTTGTCTCTGCTCGTCTCTATCGCTCTCGGTCGCTCCTTATCTCTGCTTGTCTCTGCTCCACTGCTGGCCTGTTCTGTCTCCTATGTCTTCTCTCCGTCTCTCCCCGACCTGCTTCGTCCCAGTCCCAGCGACAACTCCCTTCGCTCTCCCCGTCCCCCGAATATATCCCCGTTCTCATCAACAACCAATTAATTAGGCCTCGTGCCCACGAGCCCCGCGTCCCCCGCACCTGTCGCTCGCCCCTCTCTACCTCCAGACATTCCGGCGCCACTCCGCCCCTGACAACAACCCTGGCCAATCACAGCCGTACATCGCTCTCCAACTTAATGTGCCCGTCATTACCGCACAGTTCCCCGCCGCCGCACATGGCCGGCCCGACGTGACCCCACTGTCCATAACTCGCGCGTCTTTACCATCCACCCTGTATGCGCGTGTTAATCCACTACACATACATTGTGACACATTTGGTACCATTTTAATAATTATAAATGTAACGTTGCTGCTGCCGAAATTGTACACTGAAAGAATGTGAATACGTCGTAATGAGACTTTTTTTTTAGGCCTGAAGGGAAGTAATTATTTGACCTCGTTCCATATTACGTGTTTCCCCGTCATCCTCAGAAGCCATGACCAATTCACGATGAGATCAATGCCTTCCCAGGCAGTTGCCATCTCACGTGGTTCTCTGCTGTAGCAACCTATGCAGCACTAAAGCCGATTTCATCCCTACATTTCCACTTCGTCAGAACTTTCACCATTGCATCTGCGACCGGTCACCGAGCGATCGAGAGCTTAGTTCGAGGGAGACGGCCGTCACTTTTTGGACACGTCGGGCCGTCTTGATGCGCAAACTCCAGCAAAATTGGGCTCTTCAGTTGCGGTCGACGTTCGAAGTGGACTGTGATCCTCAAATGAATGGGGCCTCAACTGTGGTCGCCTCCCCACCCCTGTGATCCGTGGATCAAACAAATCACTCGATACACCGGTGTATGGCAGCAAGAGACGTTCATGCGAATGCTTCCGCGAGAGGTCACACGTTTGGCGCAACGGTCCTTTGCTGACTATGCGGGATGAATGAATTTCCACTGTGGATGTACTCTCAGGCAGGTTTCCTCATTTGCCTGCCACTCCGACATTAATATTAACCGGTGGCCAAATGTCCTGTCCAGGCCCACTGACGTTTCTTGACAGCCATATTCATACAGCACTATGTCCTCCACCAATGTTTCCCAGCAGTAATTATTTTTTAATGTAATCCTCGGCTGGTTTCAACTTCATTGAATCTCATGAGCAAGGTGTGGCCATAAAGTTGCAGGAGTCGGGAACCTTTTTTTCTGCAAAGGGCCATTTGGATATTTATAACATCATTAGCGGGCCATACAAAATTAAATTCATGTCGCTATGAAAAAAGCTCCTAGATTTATTGCATTTCGAGTCATGCGGTTGCCTTGGCAGGGCCAAACCAAATGATTTCACGGGCCTTATATGGCCCGCGGGCCGAACGTTCCCCACCCAATGCCACTGTGTGTACTGACGTTACAAACAGCAGGTTTACATCGCAGTGGATTAACTGGGTCTCCATAAGCACCCAGCTAGTGCATGGACAGAAACTGTATCGTCCTTATACAGTGTGTCTATTGTGCATGATATAGAAATGAGCAGAAACCCACACATATTACATTACGTATTTTCGGTATGCTTTCTCTTGAGGATGATAGGTTAATTAACATTTTATTAAGTAACTTTTTGGTTATTTTTTTCCATTCAACATATAGTAGATGTGTTCACTTTATCTTCGTTGTAACTCATCGAATGGCTTTCACTAATGCAGTGTATTTACTGCGGATAAACAGACTCTGGAGCCAAACATTTGCCTGTACGTTTGTAATGGGAAACCTGCAGGCATCTGTGCAGCGAGGGCTCATTGTGCACAATTATGTGAGTCTCTGTAAATATGCACTTCCAGTTCACGCATAGGCTATGACATTACCAGGCACCATCATTATTTTAATTACCAACTCCTCCCCCATTGGTGACTGATCAAAATGTACAGTGAGGGAAAAAAAGTATTTGATCCCCTGCTGATTTTGTACGTTTGCCCACTGACAAAGAAATGATCAGTCTATAATTTTAATGGTAGGTTTATTTGAACAGTGAGAGACAGAATAACAACAAAAAACAGAAAAACGCATGTCAAAATGTTATAAATTCATTTGCATTTTAATGAGGGAAATAAGTATTTTACCCCCTCTCAATCAGAAAGATTTCTGGCTCTCAGGTGTCTTTTATACAGGTAACGAGCTGAGATTAGGAGCACACTCTTAAAGGGAGTGCTCTTAATCTCAGCTTGTTACCTGTATAAAAGACACCTGTCCACAGAAGCAATCAATCAGATTCCAAACTCTCCACCATGGCCAAGACCAAAGAGCTATCCAAGGATGTCAGGGACAAGATTGTAGACCTACACAAGGCTGGAATGGGCTACACGACCATTGCCAAGCAGCTTGGTGAGAAGGTGACAACAGTTGGTGCGATTATTCGCAAATGGATGAAACACAAAATAACTGTCAATCTCCCTCGGCCTGGGGCTCCATGCAAGATCTCACCTCGTGGAGTTGCAAAGATCATGATAATGGTGAGGAATCTGCCCAGAACTACACGGGAGGATCTTGTCAGTGATCTCAAGGCAGCTGGGACCATAGTCACCAAGAAAACAATTGGTAACACACTACGCCGTGAAGGACTGAAATCCTGCAGTGCCCGCAAGGTCCCCCTGCTCAAGAAAGCACATACATGTCCGTCTGAAGTTTGCCAATGAACATCTGAATGATTCAGAGGACAACTGGGTGAAAGTGTTGTGGTCAGATGAGACCAAAATGGAGCTCTTTGGCATCAACTCAACTCGCCGTGTTTGGAGGAGGAGGAATGCTGCCTGTGACCCAAGAACACCATCCCCACCGTCAAACATGGAGGTGGAAACATTATGCTTTGGGCATGTTTTTCTGCTAAGGCGACAGGACAACTTCACCGCATCAAAGGGACGATGGACGGGGCCATGTACCGTCAAATCTTGGGTGAGAACCTCCTTCCCTCAGCCAGGGCATTGAAAATGGGTCGTGTATGGGTATTCCAGCATGACAATTACCCAAAACACACGGCCAAGGCAACAAAGGAGTGTCTCAAGAAGAAGCACATTAAGGTCCTGGAGTGGCCTAGCCAGTCTCCAGACCTTAATCCCATAGAAAATCTGTGGAGGGAGCTGAAGGTTCGAGTTGCCAAATGTCAGCCTCGAAACCTTAATGACTTGGAGAAGTATTCTTAACTCTTTCGGTAAAGTCACGTTGAAGGGAAACGTGACTTTACCGAAAGAGCTAAGAATATGAATTACTGCAGTCACGAAAGCTTTAAATCACGACTTGGAGAAGATCTGCAAAAAGGAGTGGGACAAAATCCCTCCTGAGATGTGTGCAAACCTGGTGGCCAACTACAAGAAACGTCTGACCTCTGTGATTGCCAACAAGGGTTTTGCCACCAAGTACTAAGTCATGTTTTGCAGAGGGGTCAAATACTTATTTCTCTCATTAAAATGCAAATCAATTTATAACATTTTTGACATGCGTTTTTCTGGATTTTGTTGTTGTTATTCTGTCTCTCACTGTTCAAATAAACCTACAATTAAAATTGTAGACTGATCATTTCTTTGTCAGTGGGCAAACGTACAAAATCAGCAGGGGATCAAATACTTTTTTTCCCTCACTGTATATACTTTATATATATATTTTTACTTTGAGGGACACATATGAAAGAGATATCCCAGTTAACACGTCAATGTTGGGCCAACATTGACACGTGTTTGGGACCGTTGGACCACCACTTTCCATGTCAACTGAGATATTGTCTGCTTGTTAATTGTGTCGCTTATATTCTCCATAATTATGCTTATGATTATTTCGTGTTAAGTTTGGGTCCGTGTCACTTTCACAAGTGTACCAGCCAATCTCATTCGTTCTTCAGATGCAAGAGTCCTGTGATCCTTGGCTGCTGGGATCGTAGTGCATTGCAAAATTCACTGAATAAACATGTGGACACATGCAGACACAACAAAAGTTATTATCAAGTTGTGACCACTCCACAACAGTACACGTGCCAGACGAAGTGCCCTTTGAAGACATAGCCAATGAAGGCTCACTGCAAGGAGACCACAAGACAGATTCACTTTTCGATTTAAAGCTTTCGTGACTGCAATGATTAATCTTCTTTGGTTCTTTCGGTAAAGTCACGTAGAATGAGAATAAAATAATAAATTGATAAAATAAAATAACACAATAATATTCTCACGACGTTTCGGCCACAACACAAGCGGCCTTCATCAGGTGAAGGGAGCGAGACTGTCTGATGAAGGCCGCTTGTGTTGTGGCCGAAACGTCGTGAGAATATTATTGTGTTATTTTATTTTATCAATTTATTATTTTATTCTCATTCTACGTGACTTTACCGAAAGAACCAAAGAAGACAGATTCACTTGTTGAAAATTGACAAGCAAGGGTTAGGGGGAGATACACCTTCCTCGTAAAGATGGAACGTTGGACCAATGTTAGGGCAATGTTAGCCCAACGGTTCCAAACACGTGCTAACGTTGGTGCAACGTTGTATGTTAACTGAGTACAGTGCTAAAATTCTCCAACTTTCTGTCAGCTTTCTCTGCTCATCGTTTCGTACCCATTCACACATGCAACAGTATTGTCGGGAGGGGATGGCTTTCTGGAGTTGTTTGCCGGATATCAGATGTGACACCTGCAGGCAATGCTCGCCTGCACTGTTTGACGTCGGATCTTAGGTTACCTGTGAAGTCCATGTTTCATTTTGCGTTCTTTTTAATCAGTTTACTCAAGAACAATACAGAACAGTGGTGATATTTGCACAGGGACACAAAGAGCAGATACAATGAGTCTGCAATTTCAGGCCTTAGTGAAAAACTAGCCAATGTGGTATGCCATGGGCTCAATGGAATTACCGTAAATAATTAACACATTATATAACTCAGAAAACAGCATTAAAAATAGGGATGGGCAAATATACATCAGCAACATCAGTGTTTTGATATACTGATATTTTAACAGTGATGTTGATGGCTGCGATAACATCGAAACATCACTTTTTGGTTGATCTTTTAATGTTTTGGTTTCGAGGAAGTTAATTTCAGTTGCAGTAACATCTCAACATTTTGCATACGGCTGATAGCCTGGTACTAATAGGATCTCCACTTAAATACCTCGGCGCCGGATAGGACACGCTAATTGGCACTTATGTGTTAGATGTGGAGCGTCTCTCTCGCTGCAACATCTGAAAAATAAACAATTAGAATAATACAAGCACAAGAGGGTTTCCAGAGCTGGCCAGCCCTCTTCCTTGATAAGGCAGTGTTAATAATAGCACTGTGCTCATTAAAAAAAACACCACCACTGTCACGTGTGCATTATTGTGAGTAGATGGTGGCGGCTCGGTGAGGCCTTCATCCAGCAGTGGATAGACCACGGCTGATGACGATAATGCGAACAACATTGTTGGAACTAACATTGCGTGGGGAGACAACACAGTCTGGCGAGCTCCGTGATCTCAGGTGTCGTCGTGTCCCCTACAGGTGAAGAGTGACTTCACGACCGAGTTCACAGCTTCAGTGGCTGACCTGCGTGTCATCTCAGCGAGTAGTAGTCCCCTCCCTCTAGACCCGCTAAATATGGAAACATGCACTGGGTATTTAAGGTTTGCACGTTTTGGCATCAGGTGAAGCTCATCGACTGTGCGGTGGTGGTTTCCGTTCACCTGTTCTCGCCTCGGGTTTATCATCGTGCGCAAGATGGCGGTAACTCCACTCTCCATCGTGGCGGTAGCCTGCTTCTGCTGGTAAATATCGTTACTGGATTTAGGGGGAATGTTTCAAGGGCACGTGTAAAAATGCTACAAAGTAAAGTATCCTCTTGGTTCTTTCGGTAAAGTCACGTAGAATGAGAATAAAATAATATAATGAAATAAAATAAGGCGGTAAAAAATTCTCACGACGTTTCGGCCACAACACAAGTAGCCTTCTTCAGGTGAAAGAACAGATCTGTCAGGACGACAGTGCTTCAATGAGCGCTGCTAAGATTCGCAGCGTCTTTTAAGCTCGGTGAGAGGCGTGAAGACGCCTTGACAAAGGAGTTTTAAATCGATATGCTACAAAGTAGTTGTAACAAATAATCAAAGTAGCTCATGTAAAAGCAGTGCAAGAATGCAAGCAATTAAAATGGAAAAACTTGAATAAGCACATTGATACCGTTACCTTTTTATCATAACATGGCCACATAATATCATCTTGCTCTCAAATAATAATTTGCACAAATATTGCACTGTTTCCTTTGAATCTTGACTTAAAGCTTTCGTGACTGCAGGAATTCATATTCTTTGGGTCTTTCGGTAAAGTCATGTAGATAGGTTCAAAGAAAATAACAAAATAACATAACTAAGGAAAAGGGGACCGCTTTTCCTGATGACGACCGCGTGTGTTACGTAGTTTTTTGTTATTTTATTTGAACCTATCTGCGTGACTTTACCGAAAGACCCAAAGAATATGTTCCTTGGAAGGCCAAACTTTGGAGTTGTTTGTATATTTTAAGCAAAAGTATATATTTTATTGCATGGCTAAGGGAAGTTCCAAATTTTAATAGTTTTCCAGTTAAAATAAACTGATTGCTTAACCTATATGATGGGGAATCAAGCTTGTGTTTGGTTAGCTTGAGAAGCATCAGAATGTTATGAAGAAATCGTTTTTGAAGGCGTGTATTGAATATTTGCTTTGATAACGTGCTCACTAAAACGGTGGATAGGGTAGACACAGCAACATTCACAGGAATTACAATGGATAATATGCATCTGAAAGACGAGGGTCTAATTAATATAGATTTTTGGTTTCCAATCCACTTTTTGGTGAACAATGGCAACATTTACCGAGAGAACAGGGCAGATACCAATTCCACCCTTTGTATAAACACTCAACATTTATTGGCTGAAAACGTCTTCAAATAAAAACCCAACGCAAGTAACCCTCCTGAAAAAGTCCTACGACTCAGTGTGGCTTTTCTGACTAAAATAAGAAAATATTAATAAAAGCTCATTCGTATGCCCACTTGTTCCCTCTAATCTACTAATTTGTGTACGTTTCCAAACAAAATATAGAGGAAACTTTGGTGCTGAAAACAGTTTGAAAAGTGGCATAATGAAGTAATGCATGCAAATTAAAATCACAGTGATGATTAAGACGCAAAAGATGAGGATATCGATGATGATAATGATGCTGTTGATTATTGCAATGAAGCTTCACCTAATACCAGAATTCTGCAAAAGCTTGAAAACAAATTCTACATTAATTGGGCCTTTTGAGTGGACAGATGTTCCTAATAATGCATGTTTGTTAACTAGAACCCTGGCTGGAGAATTTTAGCTTTGGTAATTTTAGGCATTCAAAATGGGCACTGGCACATAACCTAATGTATGGCAGTAGCAAGACATGCTCAGTAAAGATCACTCAATCAATCTTAGTGTTTGTATAATGCCTTTCACAAATGAATTCCCTCAAATTCGCTGAACAAAAAAACATTATTAAATGAACAAAATAAAAGATTGTAAGTAGATACACCAGTGAAAGTAATAACAATCGGTAAGAAAGCGGTGTAAGAAGCCGTAATACATAAAAGATAAATATAAAATTTAAAGCAGTTAAAGTGAGTAATACAATTATTTGCAAGAGTGTGAATGCTGTATTATAATACAATGTTTTGAATATTGTGATGATAATTTTGTTGATAATTTTGCTTTTACTCGTTGTTGTTGCTACTGATGTTATGTCTGCTGCCACCGATGATGAAGAAGACAGTGTAGAAGAGGTAGTGTTCCCAGGAAAGCTTCAATGTGAACAGGGACTCTTTAAAAATAGTAGGTTTCATGCGGGAAGGAACTCAGGAACCACAGAAACACGCAGACATGGTGGCACTTGAAGCTTCATACAGCTGGACTCAATAATCTATTTCCCGCAACTTTTTCTTATGGCGGTCTTTAGTTCAGTGTATTTATTTTGGTATAGCCCTGTGAGCCATTCGGCTCTTGAATCGGGTGCAACCACAACACACAAAAACACGAACAAGAAAAACATCTTAAAGTGACTATGTGACTGTGCAAACAGAAAATCCATGGAAAAAAGTATTCCTGAAAAAAGCACCGTACACCAACGCTGTGTGCAAAAAAAAAATCCCATCGCGTTTGCGAATTACATTTTCCACGTGATCCATGAACAAATGCCTCCAGTGATATATTTAACTGATGTGAACATACAAGGGGGTCCTCTCCCTTTAGGATCCCCTCTGCTCACCCTGCTCGGAATGGGGGATAGAAAAAGTGCCCTAAACCTAGGCTGTCTCATCCACTCCCGGCTGGATGTCCTCGTCCAGTGGGAACACTCTATCGATGATTGGAACCACAAAAAACTGTGACTTTTGCATCATGGAATGTTCGCACTCTGATGGATAACAAAAATAACGTAAGACCAGAAAAAATAACTGCTATCGGCATCAGGAAACCTGCAAGATGTAACATCAAAGTCGCTGCGCTGAGTGAGACGAGGTGCCTGAGGTGAAGGCAAGTTGAAAGAATATGGAGGCTATACCTCTCTCTGGAAAGGAAAACCTACAGAGGACAGATGCATCCATGGTGTCGGCTTTGCAACTAAGAACACGCTTGTCAGTCAGTCGTAGGAATCACTTCACGTTTAAATGATCCTTCATTCAAATCTCAGCAGGAAAAATGGGCCTTTCGAGAAGACGGAGCAAGTGAAAGGCAGATGAATTTGCCAAAGTTGAAAACAGCAATTTATCATTTGGTTTCCTAAGAGACTGATATTTAGAGAAACAATGTGAAATCACTGGATCATGTCCCATCAAGGATGAACAACTATGCGGGTCTTTGCAGCAGCTTCACCGCTTTACCCCTTCGTGTCCCTGTGCCCTGGCAGCCTGGGGTCGAACCGTGATGTCGCCGCCGTGCCGGCAGGGAACCTTGCACCCTTCGACTCCTTGGGCACCCTGGGCACAACCACTGCGTACGAGCGGCGCATCCGGCCCAACGTGGGAGGTGCTCACTCTGTGTGGATGTGTGGGATATGTGTTTGTGACCAGTGGGCCACAGGGGCCGGGATCTACCAGCGAAAAAGGAAAATTTAAAAAAAAAACCTGAACAGTTCTCGCTTGTACATTATTTTGTTGTTGTTTATTAACTGCATCCTTACTTTTTGGTTCTTTCTGTAAAGTCATGTAGGTATTTTATTTTATACCCACGTGACTTTACCGAAAGAACCAAAGAGTATGGATTCTTGCAGTCACGAAAGCTTTAAATCAAGATTTAACTGCATCGTATTTATAGTTTGACACGATTTAAAGTACAGCTTCGCAAAGGATTGTTGCTCATAACTTAGATGAAGCTCGCCCACAATTATCAAGTGCAAGGATTGCACAGGTGGTTGAAGGGAGTTTGCAAAAACCTTTTACTGTGGATTCATACATTTTGAGACTCTTGGCAAATGGTTTTAAAAACATACTTTTTGGGTCTTATTTGGCAAATAATGCAATACACCAAAACTGATTTGTTATTGCTCAATTCCGGGACCATTAATTTATGTTTTACTTATAAACTAAATTGGTTGAAATCCTCATGAACCGAATGTACATTTTAAAATGTTTTACTCTTCTCTTCTCCAATAACAATTCAATAAATAACAACAAATTACAAATGGGATGCAACAAAGTTAAAAGTTAATTAAAAGTTCTAAAAGTGTTAAGAATGCCAAATAATTTTTTAAAACTTTTACAAACACCAAGATATATATTTTATTAACTGCGATATCCTGTGGAAATGTTCTATCGAGATCACCTATAAATATTAATGGTCATGTATGTATACGATGACATGAAAAGTGCACAAAGACGCATAGAGAGATTGATGTTTGCAATTAGACTCAGAGAGAGAAAAGGAACTCATGGATCAGGGAAAAAAACACAGCCAATTGAGTGTATGCATCTAAGAGGACGACTGCTGTAGAGATGTAGCAATGCGTTATTTACATGTGTACGAGTGAGATCCATTGTAGCAATGTTGGATCACGCGGGATGGCAACGGCATGGGGTAAGCCATGTGTTTATTCAAATGGTTGGACAACCTACTGTCGACATTACAATATCGTCTAATTTATTTTTGGTTCAACCATAACCGAGACCTTTACATTGCATGAGGTTTTTTTGACCTATTATGGTGAATGATAGCTCAGAGCCAGAAGTCAATTTATCTAAATAGTTGTTCAAATGGTAAATGCAGCATCGTATTTTTCCCCATTTCCTTTTGCAGGACCTCCGGTGGTTGTAAATGCCAGCATTGTCATCAAACGGTTTGGCCCCGTTACGGAGACATCCATGGTGAGAGCATCAACTAGCAGGGTTTTGTTTTTAAGTGGCTCATTTAGGTCAAGAGATTTTCCAGCCTCCTTGAGCCACTGCCAATATTAGCATGTTGAACTGGGACCATGATGAAGGCACATCTGTCAATGTTCAATTTATATTGGAATTAAGACCATCACGTTGGAAACATGCTAGCGTCCATCCTATAAGGCAAGGCCATAGAACAAATGACCCAGACATTTTCTCAGAATTCTGGACGGGAGACCGATTTCATCTAACTTAGAATCTGCAACAAAGTTGTCATAGTTTTCCAAAAACACTTTCAGAACTCTACCCTTGAAGTTGTTATTAGCACTGACACATACTGTACACACATCAAACAATCTCCACTGTTTTCCACAAAGTAATGGCGACATGATGCTGTCATAAAAAATATGCTGTAAGTATTGGTAGATATCCGGTTGATATCAGTTAATAAGCTGAGCTGAATAACGTACCGTTTGTCAAATAAAGTATGGACTTGGTGCAAGTGCTGCTAGTGAGTAAGCATCTGCTATGGCCAGAAATGCATGAGGGGGTGGTGAAGCCCGAACCGAAACGAGCCATCTTTGTCTCCCAAGTGCTCATGTTTACATACTGCATTGGGGACTAAATTAGAACTTAAATGAAATTAAGTTGAAATCGGCGGGACATGTCATGAGAACAACTGTAAATGGATGAGAGATAATTAACTACGGAGTGGAGAATGATATTAAGGCCAAAGGAGCAGAGGAAGACAGTGGACGAGGTCGTGAGATTTATTCAAAGAATTCGGAGGCCACTTGCTGGACAAGGCCAACTCAGGAAAGGAAGAAATGGAAGAAACAGGGGAGGCCTTTGTCTGGCTACGGAAAGTTACAGGCTGATAACAACACACCTTGGGGAGGCACAGGATAGGTTCATATACAAGTTTCCACCGATGTTATCCGTTTCAAGGAATGTAATTTAGTCACCAAGTTGTAATGCAGTGCATTAACCCCTGCTGCACCCCGTTCCTCATATACACATACAAGGGCAAACACACAAGTCAAAGGCCATTTCCATTCTTTGTACCCACAACCCCTGCATGTGCTCCCATTGCAGAAACATTTTCTTTTTCCATTGGATTTATTTTTAATCACCTCCACTTTTCTGCGATTTTGGGACTGACTGCTTGATACTGTGTTGCTTTGTCCTCTCGACCCTGGCGTGATTGGTACCAGGACTATCAGATATCAATTTTCCTTCAACTTCGCTGGAACGATCCCCAAATACAACAGCTGCTGGCAAACGCAATGCTCAAGGAAGACTCAATTGACCTCGGCAACAACTATTATGACCTGCTGTGGAAGCCGGTACTTTTCTTCGAGAACGAAAAGTCAGCGAACGTCCACGCCATCACATCTGATAACAAGATGCTGCGGCTCTACAGGAATGGGGACGTGTTCCACTCCATGAGGTGCAATGCACAAATACCTTCCCTATAGTCTTTAGCGACTGTTCGTTAGTGTAGCGCTTCTGGACTTACGAGGCATACATTTATTATATATAATTCCAAATGTCCCTGAATGGCGAAGGGGAATACACATGATACTCCACTTGGTTGAGCTATCATTTGTGGCAAAGTCGCTTCTGAAAAAGAGCTATATAGCTCATTGGACCTGTGCTTGGAAAATTAGAAAATATGTAGTTTTAATGATTTCAACAGGAACGGAAATTATTATTCGCTCACATTGGGCTCAGTCTGCACCACGCCGCCAAGCACGTGCTCCCTCTCTCCACCAAACGCCAATCATTTCTGATTGACCACACACAGTGATTGACCACACACAGTGATTGACCACACACAGTGCCACGGAGGCTCCCACTATTTAACGTCAACACAATAAATTTGGGATTTCTCACCAGAACACAAATCAATGTGCAACTAGGAATGCACGTTAACCTTTCTTACAGATAAAGCAAATTCCCCAAATTAAACGCAAGTAATTTTAACACGTGGATTAATTCATTATCATAATATGCAATCTAATTATTTTAATATGCAATATGATTAATTATATGTATGTTTAACTTTTTTCACACCGTACGTAGCCAACCGTGCTTAAATCAGGTTAATCGTTTTAAATTGCAATTAATTAAATTGAATCAATATATAGCACAGTACGTACTGTAATACAAAGGTATAACTACATTATAGCTGGATTAAATCAGAATATAACTGAACAAATAACCATTAAATCTGTGTATCCCGAGTTAACACTAAAACGCACTTTAAACAACTTTAATCCACTTGCTCTCACTATTCATCACCGCATCTATACACAATGTGACCTCGATTAATTAACATAACAACGTTGAGCCTTTACGGAGCAATACAAAATTAATTATGTAACTTTTTACTATTTAACAGCATTAATCCAGCACTATTGATCACGCAAGAAAGGTTATAAATGTAAACTAGAAATCTACCCCCGTATTTACCAATGACACTATCAGTGACGTCATTGAACGGGAGTAAGATCAGAGGCATTGAGGATACGCGAAAGGGGTAGTGGAGTGTACAAATTGTGATATTTGTGGGAATGCATGAGGGAGCATTTAGGATAAATCTTGTGCATTTCACAGGCAATGTTAAAAATTCATATATAATATACAGTACTGTATAATTGTGTGCGCAAACATTCAACAACGCAAGCAATGTCTCATTTTTTATTTAAAGCTTTCGTGACTGCAGGGATTCATATTCTTGGTTCTTTCCCTTCTACGTGACTTTACCGAAAGAACCAAGAATACAATGTCTCGTTATAATATTGCATGGTTGGGATCTCACAAGTCTCTTCTGCTCATTGCAGGGTGACAATGCTCCTGGAGTGTGCCATGATCCTGCGTGACTATCCCATGGACCTACAGCACTGTCACATGAACATGGAGAGCTGTAAGAGCGAGAGGACCATCTCCCCCTGGGTGGTGTTTTTTTTTTTGGGCCCTGACATTGTGGGTGGGACATTCCGTTTTGAGGACACAGGCTGGAATTTAATTAATTATAGTGGATTTCATTGTCATTCTTACAATTGCTCCTCATCCTCTCTTCCATGGCTGCTAGTAGTATGCCACGCCGTGACATCATAAAGATGCTTGTAAAGTTCATTTAGTTTAAGAAGCTCATAACTCTATGGTAGTCATTATATAGTGTAGTATATACCCAGTTACTTCATGTTAACAGCTCAGCTTACTGGAGAGTATATTGAGTACATTGATGATATTGATGTACTTTATATTTAGTTTTTTCACATCGGTTTATTGTATGGTAGTAGGGTATGTGTAGTTCTTTAGAAACTCTCTTTTTTGTTTTACACATAATTCACTAGCTTGATACGCGGTGGTTTGGGCTGTTGCAGTTCTTCATTATTAAAATTTCCCTCCCTTATTGCTGCTAATCCTACATAATACACTAGCATAATATGACTTTGAGACCCCCCACTGCCTACACATTCCACAAGGAGTGACTAATCCCATATCTGCATTTGTCATCAACATGCTAAATTCCTCTGGTTGATGTGTAAAGTCCTTTGTCAAGGCGCTCTCCTCCTCCCACCCAGCTTATAAGATGCTGCCAAGCTTAGCAGTGTTCATTAGGATGCTGTCTTTCCGACAGCTGTTTCTTCACCTGAGGACGGCTGCTTGCGTTGTGGCCGAAACATCGTGAGAATTGTATAATATTATGGCTTATTATTTTATTATTTTATTATTTCCCTTCTACGTGACTTTATCGAAATAATCAAGAATATAAGCTCATTACGGCTCAATCGTTTAGCTTGGTTGACTGCGAGAGCATGAGGTCAATCAATCAATCGAGTCTTTATTTCTATAGCATTATTTAGTACAAAAGATGCAATTTAAAGTGCTGTACAGGTAAAATAAAATAATGTTAAAAGCTTAAATCACGAGAACAGTAAAAGCAATTTCCATAAAAAGCAATTGCATCGTAATAAATTGCTAGCGAAGGCATATAATAAAGCAACACTATAAAATAATCTTAAGTTAAAGCAAGTTTAAAAAAGTAAGTTTTTTTTCCATTCTGCATTCTGATCACAAGTATATGTGGTTAATGCAGACATGATTCCTTGTAAAAGGTTTCAGTTTGGTGTTTTAAACATCTTAACATCCAAACACCTTGACTATGGATTATAAACACCTGTTTTGTTGCCAGAAAAGAGGGGAAAACCTATTCTCAGTAAGTTTTTTTTTAGATTTCACTTAAAATTGCTAAATGATTGCGAAGCCCTCAGATCCCCTGGCAGGCTGTTCCATAGGCGAGGCCCATGCACATTGAAGGCCGCTTCTCTGTGAGTTTTGTTCCTGGCCCTTGGAGTGACGAAAAGACCGGAACCAGAGGATCTGAGGGATCTTGTTGGTTCATATCTTAAAAGTATAGAAGACATGTATGCTGGTGCCAAACCATCCAACGATTTAAAAACCAATACAATTATTTTTAAAACAATTCCATGACTGACTGGCAGAGAATGCAAGGACCCTAAAATAGGTGTCACGTGGTGGGTGCTCTTTCTGGTTTTTGTAAGCACAGGTCCTGCTGCATTCTCAATAAGTTGTAGGTTACATATTGACTTTTTCGGAAGACCGGAAAAAAGAGCATTGCATCAGTCAAGTCTGCTGGTAATAAAAGCATGCATCAGTCTCTCAGTAGTAAACCGAGAGACTGAAGGTTGTACCTTCGCTATATTTCTAAGATGATAAAATACCGTTTCAGTGATATATCTGATGTGGGCTTCAAAGTTCAAATCCGGCGTTTTTTGTCAATGTGAAAAAATTTGTGAGCAGTTGATCTCTTTTGCTCCAATTACCAGGACCTCTGTTTAGTCTTTTGTAAGTGCCATAAAAATTCAGTGACAACCACATTTAAACTAGATTTTGACACTGGTTGCTGTGGGCAGTTCAAAAGAAAACTAAAATGACCATTCACAAGACGGCAGGGAGCGCCTTGAGGTATGCATGGGAGACGCGGTATGAATAATACATTATTATTATTTCGATAATGCTCATCTATTATAAAGCCTGGAGTTCTGTTTGTCCATCAACTAAATTATGAGAGCCTTTCAGAAGGCCTGAATCAAAAATATATAGAAAGTGAACCCCCGCTCCCCCAACTGTGGGGGTCAAAAGTTGATTCAACAGGTTTCCACAAATTGTTGACCCCCTCCCCCAAAAAATGTATTATGTAGGCATATATGCCTACACACCTTACATACAATAGAGTCCAGCTTTATTTTGTATGCATATATTTCTACACATCCTACGTACAATAGAGTCCATATTTATTTTGAATGCATATATCCCTACAGACCCTACATATAATAGAGTCCAGATCTATTTTGAATGCATATATGCCTACACACCCTACATACAATAGAGTCCATATTTATTTTGAATGCACCCCACTGTTCAGACATGTCTCAGTGTGACTGGTCGGTTTGGTTTGGTCAGGGCTGATGGTAAATAGAACTGCGAATCAGTACTAGCGAGTAAAATACCTTCACGGAAAATTAATGTTTTTAAAATGTCTATTTGCATCTAATCAACTTTAAGGTACAACCCAGTAGTATCTGCACACACCGACATTCTAGTGATTTAAACCTGGCAGAGCACTACTGTGTTTTTATAAAAGCTTCCACAAAACTGAGTGCAGATATTGACGGCCGTCTGGCAACATGTAAGTCACACTCTTGGAATTCAGTGAACACACCAATATAAAAGAGCTAAAATAATGCATATGTAGGATTCTGGTGTCATCTGGAAATTACCAAAATAAATAACCTTCAGAGGTAACGCCCAGTACAAAAAGAGCAGAAACAAAGCATCCTACCGAACATCATAAGAGCAGTGGGGTGGGGGGGGACGTTACAAGTCTTGTCATCACTGCCTACATTTTGACGTGTTAATTAAAGAACGATAACCACACGCATGCTGTGTGCTCTGTGCCCCAGATGGTTACACAACGAACGACGTCATCCTTCAGTGGAACAGCACGGATCCCGTGATATTCAACGTGAGCACGGCCACCACCACCTTCACCGTGTCGGAGAAGGGGATCCTGGGCAACTGCAGCAAGACGTATGACAGTGGTAAGCCCCCGCTGAGGTCTGTGAGCCCGATTAGACTGATTATGTGGCACAACAAAAACTGCATGTGTCATCCTGAGTTATAATGTATACGTTTTAAATAGATCATAACTCGTATGTCTACCCTTTACTTGGTACTTGGCTGAAATAACGTCACATTGCTAAAATGTGGTCAAGTGATAATGCAGGATCAGTGAAAACATTACTCGCTGATAATAGTGCTAATTTACTTTTACATATAAACTCATTGTGTGTTTTAGAATATTTGTTTATTGCTGCAGGAAGACACCAACAATGAGCTATTTGGCTTTATTTCATGTGTGACCTGCGACGGTACGGTACAGATGCTAGTTACAATCATGGTTTTAAAGGTCGTGCTACGAACAGCAAGTATCGGTATGTGCTGTATACGTTACGGGAATACGGAACCTGTCGAAGACGTAAAAACATTGATTTTCACAAACAAAAATAAAGTAAGGAAAAACATGTAATTTAAAAAAGCAAACACAATAAGTAACCGGGCACTTTTAAGTATGATCCATACAAACTTGGGCTTAGAGTTCCCTGCCGATTATTTACCAGAACAACATCTATGAAGGAACTTGAGTTTCAGGAGTGAACGGAGGTTTCTCATGGTCGGCAATGATTGAATTCCCAAATAGAATGCGGTAGCGATTTAAAACCACCCAGAAGGCCTTTTTTTCCACAGACCGAATAAAATCTGGGGATTTTTAAGAGGCAGAAAGAAGAGCTATAAGGCTCCATTTGTTTTCTTGTGGGGTCAACAGATCCATCAAAGTATTTAGTGGAACATTGTAGTTCAAACATATGAAACCAGAACTCTATACTGTGCCTTCAACTATAAATGAAATAAACGTATAATCCATTAGTCTGTTGACTTTCCAGAAACAATATTATCCAGCAGCATTTGTTGTAGTGTTGTCATACCCAGCTGTAGACTGCTATTGAACACATGGAGTTAGATTAATTTATTTTAGGGAATATAAATATCAGAAAGTAAATGAAGAATACAATTTGCAGCGATAATTGCAGACGACTACGATATATTACACAATGGACAACACGATTACCGTGGCTCTTGTATAATATAATAAATTGTACCGCCATGTGGTGGGAAATGTCCTGTTGACAAAGGTGTCAGCCAGTCGCGTGTGAGGCCCTGGTGTCTGGCCGGAGCACGCAGTGACGATTCTCGACTCTGTGTGTAACCCTCCAGGCCCGTATTCGTGCATCTCGGTGGAGTTCGACCTCTCACGTGACATTGGCTACAACCTGATCCAGCTCTACATTCCCAGCATGCTGCTTGTCATAATCTCCTGGCTCTCATTCTGGATTGACATGTCTGCTGCGCCGGCCCGGGCTAGCCTAGGCATCACCACCATCCTCACCATCACCACGCAGAGCTCGGCTGCCAACTCGCAGCTTCCCAAGGTACGTGGAGTTGAATCCGTCGACATTTACAGTCATTCATTGGACGATCGACAAAAGAAGCAGGAGAAAGGCAGCAGGAGAGATTCAATCAAAGGATTTGGAGGCCATTCCTGGACAACGAAGGAAAAAAAGAATGGAAGGAAACGGGCAATGCCACCACCCAGCAGTAGAAAGTGAGAGGCTGACAAAAACAAATAAGCTGCGTTCCAGGTTTTCTATGCGATAGATGATTTTCAGTCGTGATCGGATCGTATTTTGCTTGCTCCATATGTCAGTCGATTATGAGCCTGTCCTTGCTAGTTCATCTATTGAGCTCATAGATGCTTATACGTCTGAAAAAAAAACTCCAAAGATCTGGTCAATCAAGCCAGGCTTTAATTTAAGGAGTAATACATGTTGTATAAGATAATGGTGCTACCCTGCACCTGCTTGCTTCTGCCGCACCTCCGGTTAGCACGGTTGGCTACGCACAGTGCGAAATAAGTTCAACACACACACATGCATTGTGCCACTGCTGGTGGAAGGGCCTCTTTTTGGAGGTATAGAGAGCAGGGATGGGCAACTTAGACGAGTTGGTGGGCCACATGAGTGGCCCTGCACCTCAGTTGGGCTGCAAGCTAAATGCACCTAAAACAGGCCACCACGAGGGGCTCCATGGGCTGCAAGCTAAATACACCTAAAACAGGCCACCACGAGGGGCTCCATGGGCTGCAAGCTAAATACACCTAAAACAGGCCACCACGAGGGGCTCCATGGGCTGCATGCGGCCTGCAGGCCACACGTTGCCCGCCACTGGTCTAGCGAACCCCTCTAGATGGTATTCAACATGATTTTACACACTGAACATTCGTCTTGGCAGAGGTGGAATTACCCACACATCACCCCACCATATGCGACCTGCCGATGAGCTGTGGTGCACCCATTTACACTCCTGGGTGGTCAGAGGTGGCGGGGGGGGGGGTTAAGAAACGTTTACATTGTTTTAACTGTAGGAATTTGTATCTGTAGTATGGTAAAGTAATATGACTGTATCACAGTCATCTGAGCGTGAATGAATCGGGTTAAATCACCTCGTCCCTAAAGATGTGCAGCCTCAAACCAAGCAGCTGTAAATTTTGATTTAAAGCTTTCGTGACTGCAGGGATTTATATTCTTGGTTATTTCGGTAAAGTCACCACGTTGAAGGGAAACAATAAAATAATACAAATATAAAGCAATCAAATAATAAAAAAATAAAACAATAAAATTCTCACGACGTGGTTTTCACACCTGATGATTGCTTGTGTTGCAGTCGAAACGTCGTGAGAATTTTATTGTTTTATATTTTTATTATTTTATTGTTTCCCTTCTACGTGACGTTACCGAAAGAACCAAGAATATGAATATCAAGCAGCTGTAGTTGACGGCACCTACTCCTCCTTGTGGTTTCAGGGTGTCCTTAGATTGGTACAAGCGACATTGCTACCACCTAGCGGTGAACAATGGCTTCGTTGTTGTGATTATTCTTGTGCATATGGATGGAAGTGATGGTGACGTGTGCGTGAAACCTGGTGTCCCGTCCACGGCTAACATCGGTGACGAATATCTGAAGCGGTCCTGAGTTGCTCCTAGGTCAACTCAGCCTTAAATGAGTACATTAATGCAGCGTGTAAACATCAGCCATCGAATAAAACAATATTTTAAAAAATGAATTGCCCTCGCATTCGTACGGTGGACGGGAGGCATGATAGGGGGTGACCTTGTCACGCAGATGTGCTCACTTCCCCCGCCTGCGAGCCACCCAGCCAGCCAGCCACGAAGCCAGCAAAACTTTTTTTTTTCAAATATACAATGAGATGAATCTTTGGTGCGGTGTGTATTTAAATACTGGTGTTTATCTGTGGCTATTTATATCTGTAGCGTGGTAAAGTCGTGCGACTGCATCACAGCAGTCGTTGGCGGTACGGTTGAGACTCTATAAACTCACGACACATCGAGAATCCCCGTTCAGCCCTTTGTAACGTTACAAGGGCATTAGCCCCAGCAGTCTGTAAGGATTGTTGTTGTTGTCTTGCGTGTGTGCACGCAGGTGTCGTACATCAAGGCGATCGACGTATGGATGGGCATGTGTCAAGTGTTTGTGTTTGCGGCGCTCTTGGAGTTTGCGGCCGTAAACGTGATGGCTCGACAGGGCAAACATGCCGTGAAGCTCGTGGGTGAGAACAGCTCACCCAAGGAGAAGGTGAGCGAGTGGAACTTTGCTTGACTAGGAGGGGTCGCGATGGTTAGGGATTGAAAGCGGTCAGGTGGGATAGAGGTGCGATGGGAAGTTTTTGGTGGTTTCGTTAATTGAAGGTGTACCGACCCTTTGCCATGGTCGTCATCAGCGGCTTCTGCAAACAGTGAAGATGTTTTCAGTGCGCCCCTAAACTGATTAGGGGTTTGTGAATGGATAGACGATATTTCTGGATCAACACCATTAAAATGCAACTGCATCTCAAGCAGTGTTGCCAACTTAGTAATTTTGTTGCGAGATGTATCAACTTTTTGGCTTCCCGAGTAAGAAAATGCCAACGTGACTAGAAACAAATCGAGTGACTTTCTGGAGCAAGAACCTCATGCAGATTTTGAAGTGATTCCAGGTGTGGATTAAAGATCATGTATCAACGTACCAAGTAGGAATACTTGATACATTGACAACTTTACAAGGACTATCAAGCAACATTCATGCACATTGAGGTTTGTTAAAGAAATATTCAAGGAGTTGCAGCACTAACCATTAAAACTGTACAAAGGTGGGAACATGCACTTCATGGGTAAAAAAATAAATGTGTGGCGTGACCAAGAAATTGCAGATCTGCAACTGTACTTTGTCATGTTCCAGCAGCCTATTCAGAGTTCAGTTAAATGAAGGTGTTTGGCTGTAAAGAAGCTGTAGCCGGCTAATGAGTCTGCGAGATAAGTGTCACAATTGGTTGCTTCCCTTTGTCATGCGCTTTGTGGTAAACGCGCTCATTGCATCTGCTCAGGTCGGAGCCGAGGACAAGAAGAAGATGTACGTGAGGTGCGCACATCGCATCGATTATTTCTCGCGCATCATTTTCCCCATCGCCTTCTTCATCCTCAACATCTTCTACTGGGTCTTCTACAAAGTGGTGCTCAAATTCAACTAGGAAATTGAGCAAACCCCGCTCAGATTCTGCCAACGTGCTGAGAAAGTACCCATGTAGCACGCGTCAATACCATATATTTATAAGCTGTATTGTATTTAATTGCATGCGCGTATTGTCACGAAAACAAAGCAAAATTAAAAAAAATACACTTAAATACAAATGTACAGTAAAATAAATGTGGTAGCAAACATTGGCAAGTTAAACATGCCACACTATTGGCTAAATTTGCCCCAGAATGAGCAATGCTCATGCAACACAGCAAACTGAAACATATGACTTTACGGGGGAAGATGTGTGATCATACTGCACCATACTGGTTTGTGTGGCTTGGCAAAACTATTCACTTGACGTGGAAATACTGACAAGGAGGTGACGCCAGCCACATTATAATTTTCAGAATCGATTACCCAGGATATTGTATCTAATTGGTGACCCCTGGATGGTAAGTCCCAAGTTGCCAACCATTACATCATGGTAGCTGCTTTCGTTGCTCAGTTAAAAAATATTGTACGTTCATTGCCAGACAAATGTTAATGTGTAGCAAGCGGGTAACCATTTATATGATGCGATTATCGGTAATACAAAAATAACTTTAATGAATCTAGTAAGAACAGGAAAAGTTCTTTTTTGACAATTGCTGTATTTAGGCATTGTATAATGACCTGGAAATTACTTTAAAAAATTACTTACAATTCTACTGGAGTAACCCCCAACCCCAAATATTAGCATTAAATACGTAATATCTCACGTTATCCAGGTGTATTGTGAGATAGGTAAAGTGAATTACAACTACCATATATGTTACATATACCATTGTATAGCTTTATGGGCGGATTTATTTCTGATTTCATCACCAGCTGTATTAACCCATAACTTTTCGTCGGTCATAGAGCGGAAATGTGAAGGTATGTGAAATGTGAAGGTAACTCGCCCCAAAGTTATCTCCTTTCATGATTAATATGTACTGGTATGTGTTAATTATTTCTAGTAATATCAACCAGGAAGATTAACAAGTATAATCATTGACATTTGTAAGGCCCATTTCTTCCATAGATCCCAATGTGCCGTAATTATAATTCACATCTGCTTCAAAAGTAGAATAATCTACAATGTCAATCAGTAATCAAATTTACAGTTGGATTTCAACACCATGAAAAAATAATTGCGAACTTAACCTGCTTTTAAACATAGACCTAATGTTGGTATTTTACAAAATGCAATGGATTTGAAGTCACAAGAATTGCGCACATGATACACCGAGCACCTTCCACAAGCGTAGGTACTTTCACGCACACTTAATTCATAAACAGTTACCCGGGTCTGATTTCTAGAATACTTTTCCCCTTTGCCTCCGGAGTTCGGTGGCCCTGCAAAATATTTCATACGTCCAGTTTTCACAAATATAGAGCCGGTGGACCTAAGATTACCAACCATCTGTTTTTTTGTAACTGTACTGTCTGTTACTTTTCATTACCTGCTCTAAAGTGTCCTTTTGATGCCTCTGACCATATATCAAACGTATGCATTTTTGTCACATTTTCATCGTGCAAATCAGCATGGAACATGTTTAATGGAATGTGGAGTAGACAAAGCAAGTGGGCACTGTGTAAGGTGAATACCACAACACTGGATGTGTGACGAATGGAATTGGTTTAAGCTTATCTAGTTTGCCTGTTTAAATAACATTCTACCGTTATTCATTCGTGTGGAAGGTCGAAAGGCTGATGGACTGTTTACGGTCTTCCACAATAGTGTATCACGAGTTAATATATTGTCTGTATACCCAAATTATCTGACAGTATTCCACCAAGTAGTCAACACCGACACGGGTTTGTTCATATTTTGGAAATGGGAAAATTGGCAACCCCAGGCTCACCCCCAAGGCTGACCCTTGATGCGTGAGAGTATTCACTTGTCGGAATGTGAAAGGACATTTAACTATTTTCACTGATTTAGCTGCTGTCAGCAACGTGAGACACTGAAACTGTGCTCACTGCCACATGCATCGTCAGTCCCAGAGCTCGACAGATATATAATTTAACCGAGCATACATCTCTTACAATTTAAATAAATGATTATATTTAAACAGCATGATCAACTTTCTGAGTTACTGAATTAATCTTGAAATATTTAAGTGTGTCTTACAAATTATAAAGATTCTGTATGTCAATTTAATCAACAAAGTGGTGCTCAAATTCAACTAGGAAATTGAGCAAACCCGCTCAGATTTTGCCAACGTGCCGAGAAAGTACTCATGTAGCATGTGCCAATACCATATACTTATATGCTGTACTGTATTTTATTGCATGTGTGTATCGTGCCCAAAAGAATAATACATCTCTTACAATTCAAATAAATGGTTGTATTTAACAGTATGATCATCTTTCTGAGTAAAGTAATTCATCTGAAAACATTGACTTGCCTTACAAATTACACAGTAGTACTGCATGTCACTTCAATACATTTTTTTATCACACTTATTACACATTTAGCATAATGTTGTTACACATTTGTTGTATTTTTTTAGTACTGTCTTGCAAATTTGATTAATGTTACAAATGATGGCTTGTATTTTAAACATACATTACATGTATACATTACATGTATGTTTAAATGGAAGCAAATTTAGGTAATAACATCAATTGTAATGATTAGACCATATGAGGATGCCCTCCATTCAGTGTTTAAACAAGTTATGTATTTATCCAACAGTATATGATGTATCTTCTTTGGTTCTTTCGGTAAAGTCACGTAGAATGAGAATAAAATAATAAATTGATAAAATAAAATAACACAATAATATTCTCACGACGTTTCGGCCACAACACAAGGCCGCTTGTGTTGTGGCCGAAACGTCGTGAGAATATTATTGTGTTATTTTATTTTATCAATTTATTATTTTATTCTCATTCTACGTGACTTTACCGAAAGAACCAAAGAAGATGAATCATTGCAGTCACGAAAGCTTTAAATCGAAGTATATGATGTATTAAGCTTGGTGGGGATGTAATAGGAAACGGAATCGGTACACATGTTCTGTATCCTTTATTTGACGAGATTAAATTCAACTCTTTTAGATGCATGAATCTTGCCTCAAAAACATTTAAAATATAAAAAAACAGCCTCCCCTGCAAGAGAATTACAACTCCCCTGAAAGACGACCAGCTGTGAAACTAAATTATATATACTATTACAAGTAAAATACCCAAGTTATCAAACAGTGTGCATGAGATATCTCTTGCCATGGACGCTGTCACAATTCGAAACGCGAAAAACTCCCAAAAAAATCCGTGTATCTGATAGTTTACCCAGCATTTCAAAGAGTGTCCGATTGCTTGACCTCAATAAATCTCCCTATATCTAATATTCCAATGTTTGTGGGTAGCTTGACCTTTGAACAAACGCAAAAATCATAACATTTTCAAGCTACTTGTACACATTTGGTATCAATCGAAAGCAAATAAAGTCGTCCTCCAACAAACTTTTCATTTGCCGAGCCATGGTCGTAAAAAAAAGCGCTTTTGTGGAAAACAAAATTAAAAACCACGGGGGACGCTGGCTTGTTAAAGCACACGGCAAAAATCAACTTTCTCTTCTGGCCGCAAGGACTAACCATGAAGCCTTGTAACAGGCGTGCCGAGCAAACGCGCACATTGGAGGTGCGGAGGAAGGACAACACGCTAAACACAAAAAGCAGTTCTAAAGAAATTATTTTTCAACGAAGATGACTTAAAACATGCAAAGAACGAGAGGTTTTTGTGAGAAACATAAAGTAATGAAGGATTGGAGCATGAGGTTGGTTATGGCACCACGCGAGATTACGGCGAGTTGGCTGGAGGGGTTGACGTCACGCGACAAGGGCGTGGTGGGTAGAGGGCTTGTGACGTCACGCGGTACGGGTGAGGTGGAGGAGAGGGAGTGATGACGTCCAGAGACGCGGGAGTGATGAGAGGGAGGGGGGGGATGACGTCACGCGACACTGGTGAGGTGGAGGGAGTGATGACGTCCTGAGACGCGGGAGTGATGAGGAGAGGAGGGCGGGGTATGACGTCACGCGACACTGGTGAGGTGGAGGGAGTGATGACGTCCTGCGACGCGGGAGTGATGAGGAGAGGGGGGATGACGTCACGCGACACTGGTGAAGTGGAGGGAGTGATGACGTCCTGAGACGCGGGAGTGATGAGGAGAGGGGGGCGGGGGTATGACGTCACGCGACACTGGTGAGGTGGAGGAGAGGGAGCGATGACGTCCGGAGACGCGGGAGTGGAAAACACGAATTGCAGAAAAAAATATATGACAAAAATAAGATTAAAACTAATATATTTCAATATAAAGCAATAAAATAACTGAAATTAAATAAATTAAGATATAGAAACATAAAAATGTTTAAAACAAATGATAAAACGGACATTCGCCATCCTTTTACGGTGTAAGTTATGCGGGTTCCTGCTAGTTTCAAAATAATACCATTCCTCGTGAATAGGATAAATTGATAATACTCTAAATTTTGTTGAATAAAGGATATGGGGCCGTCCATAAATGACGTCACGCGATTTTGGCCGAATTTTTACTCCCCCGTCACACGGCGTCACAAAAGTCAGACCCCCCTCAAATATGACGTCACAAAGCTCTGCCCCCCCCCCAACCATATTTCCATTTTGAAAATTCAACATGCTTCAAATCGCTTTAAACTATTGTCATTGTAGTGCGTATTTAATGTGGCGCTGCACTCTGATGTTGTAGGAGAAAACATGTGTTGAGGTTCAACAGACGACGCTGACACGGTTCTTGAGTAGGGGCGGATGCCAAGGTTTATTAAGGGCTACTGCCGGCAACTTATTAAAGGCTTACGCCCAACAAGTGACAGCCCTAATATCTCCCCAGGGGAAAGGGTACTGGGAGGTCCCCAGCTCCACCCAGGCTATACGTGCTCTCCCCCCAGCACCGACCGAGGGATCATTCAACTCGGTCGGCCGGGTGAAGTATCACTCTCGCCTGGCGTTGAATCCCCCTACCCTGGATCCCGACTCCCTAACTCTCTCCGTTCCTGGCCCTTCGCGACGACCCCCTCCCTCTACGTCACGGGTTCCCCCTTATTTATATCCCCGTAACCTGACGTCAGCCATTCTCACCCCCCTGAGTGACATGACGTCCTCCACTGCTCGTATACACATGTGTTAAAAAGAAGGCGTTGTAAAGCTGAAATTTAGCATAAAATTCACTTGAAAATATTCATCGTCTAACTAAAACTGCAGATGTTCAGAATATTATATTGAAATTCTCTTATAATTATCAAATATTAAAAGTAATTATAACTATAAAAAATACTTTAAACTTTGTAGTAGAACGAAGCAAAATGGAGAGTACAATTATAACAATCACATATTCATTCCACAAAATGAAAAGCCCTGGTAGAATCATTAGAATCAAAATGTTTATTAACAATCATTAAAAAATGTACAAAATGTATGCATATATCCATTCTCCCATGGAGAAGCAAAATGCTCCTTCATGGAATAAATAGGGAGAGCATGGATCTCTTCATTCTGTGGAATGGATATTCCATTCAGATCAAGCTCTTCTTCGTCTATCCAATCTGCACTCTCTCCATTTTCTTCGTTCGCGATTACAACCGTTAGTTCACGTTGTCGACGTGCAGCGACTCTCTATGGCCTGATGCGTTTGGGCGGAATAATAATTGATTCCTTCTTGTGTGATACAGAGTGGCTGCGCAGCATGACTAACGACGCGAAGTATGTGTGACATTTCTTGCAAATCCTATCGCTAAGCACGGATTGTATTGACGGACAGTAACAAGTTTTATGGAATCGACCGATAAGGATTTGAAGAGCGAGGAAGGATGTCATCCACTTTAAACCTTTGTGCTGCAAACAGAGATGGGAACTTATGAGATGCTCCGTCTGTTGTCCGTTCTGGAATTTTAATACAGGGCCTTTTCGAATTTAATCGGCTTCCGATGGGGCTCCACTCCGCGCTGGCTACGTTCCAATGATTGATGGAGTTGGTTCTGGCTGGACTGCAGTGGGACTCATGCTTGATATACCTCGACGATGTTATCGTCTTCAGCCGTACGTTGGAAGAACATCTTGATCGGTTACGTGCTGTCCTTCTGAAAATGCGTGCGG